TGACGATTTTGTTCATGAAATTAAGCAATAGTATATTCAATTGTCCTTATTTAGAACAAGATTCAAAATTCTGAGTCAAATATGTCACAATTGAAAAGTCATAAATCAAAGTGACACAAGACCCAAACTGTAAGGACCGTTAGTATAATTTGACCTATTAAATTTGAATCTACACGATATATTTCATTTTTGAAATATTTTTTTCTTTACTTTTTGGGAGTCCTTCGTTGAAGTCAACTAAAGAAAGGATAAGAAACCTCTGGGATTAAGGCAAGCACATCCTGTACAAACAGAGAGAGAGAGAGAGAGAGAGAGAGAGAGAGAGAGATGGCAAGATGGAATGGTGGTAACATTGAAGCAGAAGGTCATGAAGGAAGTGGAGTATTGATATTGTGGGTGGCTCTAGTTAGTCTTATTCTCATATCAGCAATTATATTCTCATGTGCAGATGGTGCATCCAAAGACAAAACCTCGGCAGCACAGGCTGACAATTACGGCGCCGGGTGCGGTGCAGGCTGCGGTTGTTGAACTCCAACTCAAAACACATCATCTCTCCACCACATATGCAGTTCCACATTTTTTTGCTTTGCGTTACATACAGAATCATAAGGAAAACTTGTTATTGAGACAAGGTAGACAGATAGATGTTCAATTACAAATCAGTTTTTTTCTATTTCTTTTTTTTTTTTTTTTTAATTGCCGATGTGCAAAATAAAATTAATTACCACCATCTGAATTGTTTTATTCACATGATTGATAATTTTATTTTATTTTATTTTTGTCTGGGCGGAAAACTGTGGATTATAATGAGTCTGTTTGGTGTAATTAAAAAGTAAAAGCTAAAATCATCTCTCTTTCTTTTCTTTTTTCTTTTTTTTTTTCTGGCTTATTATTTAAGCACAGAAACGGCTACAAATAATTTAGCAAACTTTTATAATAAATAAAAATTATAAATAATTTAGATAAATTGCACTGAACAGCCCGATGCAAACGTTTGCCATATTAAACTAGCAATGAAGGGATATGTAAAGGACTAGAACTACAAAGTTTTCAATAAAGAGATATCAAGAAAATTAAAAAGGCTTGTCAAAGTGGATACCAATGAGCCCTTTGGTTATGGTATACGGATTGTGTTATGTTATATGGATTCGAGTACACGTGCTAGGATGTTTAAATATTTGATTCATTCAATTTTCATGTCTAATGACGTGAGGAGATGATTTCACCTTACCCGATTAAAGATAAGAGAGGAAGCAAATTAGTATTGAGATTTTCCTTTCTCAATTTACGTTGTATTTGGTTAAAAAATTTAAAAAATAATTTTGAAAGAGAAAAGAAAAGGAAAAAAATAGATAAAATGTAAATAAAATATACTTACATTTCACGTTATTTCACACACATTTTTTTTTTGTTTCTAAATTTCTTCTTAAATCCTCCAACCAAACATAGAGAATAAAGAATTCAAGGATAGAGATTATTTTCTTAATATACTTTTATTTTTTAGTTTTTTTATGGATAAAATAATTTTAATAAAGTGTCATACAACACTTTATGCCTAGTTTTATAGTAAACTCGAATTATTTGAATTATTTAATATGCATGCAAAGTAAATGTCAAACACATTCCTATATTCTTGTCCACATGCCAAGTACATAACCCTGTGGCTATGCTATCCTCAATAAGATAGTAGCATTGACCACATGCGCGTGTTTAGTGTAGTTTTTGTTCAGAAAATAAAACTTAATTGTTCTAAAAAATAAATAAATAAAACTTAATAATACCTCTTTCACGTATAAGATTTTTTTTCAGCTTATTAAAATTAGTTTTTAAAGACACACCAATCATTCTGACACAAATTTTCAAAATAAAAAATTATAAACTTCTATAAACTGCACTAAACAAGCATATGGAGAATTATAGAGCTAACGTTTAGGATCATCCACTCAAATCAACAATGCCAGAACTCTTCAATCAACAATCAAACTAAAGAGAAGGATTATATAAAATTCTTTTCCATTTCTTATTTTCTGTATTGAAGCTTCCAATCTTTATGCAATTACAAATAGATCCACTTTCCAAGTAATAACAACAGTATCTTGTTGTGCAAGGATGATGCAGACAACGTGTGTGAGCTGTTACATTCCTAGACTTTTCCTAATTTCAGTTGACGATATGTCCATGCGAAACCTGTCTGACGGTATTGAGATAAACATGTCTTTCAACACCTCTGGAATGTCAAAATCTTCAAGAACCTGTACAAATTCAATATATGATGAAATTTCTCAATTTTCCAAAGATATGAAACATGAAAAAAGAGTGCCTTCATAGGCTTTTGGCATGTGGACAAACCTTAAAAACCCCGTCGACATTTCGACCACCCACAAGGAAAATAGTTCCCGTTCTTTTGCATCCAACTAGTATCTCCACCATCTTCCCATAATCCCCACCATAATACTTTGGCTGGAAAGCATAGAAATATAATTGTAAAGATAAATAGAATTATATGAAACACCTCCAATTTCCAAAAAAAATCTCCACTAAAAAATGATTCATTTGGGGAAACATTTTAACCAAAAAGTATATCACTCTCTCTACTTTTTTGTACATCTTTTCATAAAAAGTCAAGAAGTTACTAAAATAGTCTATTTCCAAACAAAGCTGTGTAAACATGGAAAATTCTGCATGATTTGTTTCTTAATTTACTTGGGTTAAATTTGGGGTGTGGGTGTCTTCCCAATGAAAATTTATGCATGATGTGAATTGTATATTTATTTCTTAATTTACTTGGGTCCCAAAAAAAAAATAAATAAATAAATAAAAATATGTATGCACCAGTCAATCAAAACTGTTTTCCCTTGTTTGAGTTGTAGAAAAATCAATCTTCAGGGACTGTGGTGAGGTGGCTAGTAGTTGGAAATCCTCAAAACAAGATACTCGCCTCTTCAAAGACTATTGCCTCTTCAAAGACTAGAGGTATACTAGTTCCACTAAATTCAACGGACAAATCATCTAATACAAGAAACCATCTAAATTCAACGGACAAATCAGCCAAACATATGATGCACAGACATGGACACAGATGTGGACACGACAGGACAGACACGTCAATATGACAAACCCTAAACAATTAGGACACGAGTAGAATGATTGAGTTCACATATATATATATATTACAAAAATAATTTACACAAGAAGAAATCATTACTAAAGTACATCTTGTATCTAGTAATCTTACTCCCAAAAAAATTATACTAATGGGCCATAATAGTTAATAATCAGACAAAATGCAACAAGCACATGTACTAACATTTTTCTCATCCTCCTAAGTCATATTCTTTGTAAAACATTTACGTGCCTTCTGCTTTTTTCAATAAATTTCAAGTGAAATTTTGATATGATTAGTCAGGGGATTCATAAGCCATAACAGAAGCATTTTTTACCAATATAAAAGTCATTCATGTTAGCAAGCCTCCAAGGAGTATTGGAGACACATCTTTCAGTCCTAGACATGGCCTAAGAAGTGTTCAACATGTAAGGTTTTTATTTCTTAAATATGGACACAAAATAAGTGCTGGACACGTCCAAGGAGTGTTGGTGTTCAACACCTGCCTGACATGGATACACCCACTTCTTTGAAGTGTTCGTGCTTCTTAGAGTAAAATTAAATATATACAGCAGGAAAATAACAAGCAAGAGATTTAACAAACCAACAGAGAGGGAGTCCTAATTCAATTACAAAGGTCTTGAGAAAAAAATTTCATGTAAGCCCATATAACAGAAAAAAAATAAAATGAAAATACATAAAGAAAACACACACATATCCAGGAAAGAAAAAAAATAAAATGAAAATACATAAAGAAAACACACACATATCCAGGAAATTTCAAGCTTAAAGCTATGTATCAGGCATGATTAATGGTTGCCCATTAATGATGCAACCATATACGAATAAACATGACAGATGACAGTTATTTAACAAAGGAGAAAGGACAAAGTAACAAAGAGGAAAGGCGTTAATATGGTTGCATCACACAGACAGACATGAGGGTAGAGATGGAAGAAACAGGAGAGGGAGGGAAAAAAAAAGGATAGGCAGTGGACCTTAGTATCTCAAACTCTTCTCTGAAAACCTTTTTCTACCAGGATGTATTGGAATTTTCATAAAGAGTATTAACCCTCAGACCACATACTTCAGAGAACACATTGTACAAATACAAGCCCTGACTCTAATATAGCAACCAGTCACACAGACAGACAAAAGCATACCAGACAGGACCCACCAAAAAAGAGAGCAAGCTTAAACAATTACTGGAAAGGGATCTCCAAACGACATGAATATTCTTTTAAAACATACTTTTCAAAATTTCAATTGAGTTATCGCTATGTTCTTAGATTCTTAATATAAATGAAATTTCAATTTATCAGACAGTTAACATTGTTGGTGAAAGCTCTTTCAAGCTTGTAATTGATCTTCTTTACAAGTTTCACTTCTTAAAAATCTTATAAGTGAAACATATTCATGTGACAATATTTGGTGCAGAGAAATGTCTACCTAGCACTTGACAGAAAAACCTATGAAAGTTATACAATTTTGTCTCCCACCTTTGGTAACCAAAGCCAGTGCAAAGAGGACAATAGGTTGGAATGAGAAGATATATATAACCAAACTCCAAAAACATCAAACATTCAACCATAAACATATCCTGCCAACAATTATCAAATTACCTCAAAAAGACAAACCACGACAAGATCATAAACCAAACATCAGAAATTGTTAAAGTTCTTATTAAATTACCTCAAAAGGACAAACTATGACAAGATCAAAAACCAAGCATCAGAAATTGTTAAGTTCTTTTGCCAATTCAACATCATGCATGTTGCAACTTGCAAAATCCCAAGTGAAACCTTACTTGGCTGTGGGAGTAGTAAGTTTCTAATAGTTTCCAGCTAAATCTCATCATACTGCACAGTACCCACCCCCAATGTACTATTGAAAAAAGGAAACCACGAATAAATTTTTTCATTATCTGAGACTGCAAAAGGTATGCACCCAAGATCTGATTATAGTGGTCCACTTTGTGCATCTCTTAGTTGTTTGCACATGGCAACAAGGCACGACACCAATAAAGCCCACACACAAGATCCAATTACTATACAGCTTCATATGCCAATCAAAGCAAAGGAAAAGGCTGAGCAGCAGTTAAAAACTGTTGCCTCTTTTAAAAATAACTAGACTGTCTACAACTATACCCCAAAAGTCAGAAAAGAGGTATTCTCTACTCTGCTGGGAAAATCTCAAAGAAATGAGCTTCCCTGAAACTATGCATGGATTGAATTCTGTAAATAATAGCATAACAAAGAGATACAGCTACTATAGAAAACATATGAACCTTGAGCAATGACCTGAAAGAGTAGTTAAAAATAATGGGGAAAAAAGAAGAGAAACAAAAGAAAAGAAAATAAGTAAAATCACATAAGATATTCTACAAAATAAATCAAGTAGTGTTTATTTCAAGTGATGTGTTATTCCTTACATTAAATAGCCTTGCTGCCGTGTCCGCACCAATTACGAAAGCACTGCCAGGAAAAAGTTCTGCTTTCTTATAAAAGAAAGGCTGATTGGAAATAATCACCGTCTTTCCTGCATTTTTGAGACGGCAAGAAGTCAACAGCTCAGTTTATTTTGAACCATATAAACATAATCACCTGGAAACAACTCAAAATACCAAATCATCCAGAGGTTTTATACATGTATAAGTAACTTCACAATCATGCTCAAAAAGGCCTCACAATACTCACAAATAATATTAAAATCATAATTTGTGCAAAATATATTAGAAAGTTCTAGTTATTACCAAATTTCCATGAGTTGGTTATTAATGTATTAACTTACACTGCTACCTTGGAGTCCTGACAGTCACAGATTCTTCCCTATGGTTTCTAGAATCAAACTGCCCTTTCCTAGTTTTTTACATCTTTCCCTCAATTCAATAATATTGTGTTATAAATAGAAAAATTAATCAATTCTCTGCCAAAACCATAGTCTCACCTTCACCACCATTTCTGACAACCTTCACCAAACACACAAATATAAATTAATAGAAAAATTAATCAATTCATCATTTATGTAGAGAGAGAAAGTAGATAGAGAAAATTATAAATTTTCCGCCAAACACATACAAAATAATTGTAAACCAGTCATCTGATATTTCCATTCAGAGAATTTTATAACTCCATCTATTTGGTTTATCTGGGGCGAAGCCACGAAGCATTGTGGGAAATTGTGCCATCACCTCAGTAAAATTTGTCAATCACCAAAATAGCCAACTACTGGAAGGGATAATGCATCACGAACACCAACATTTAAAGGGGGTACAACATCAATTTAGAAACTACGGTGGATATCCCTACAATCATTATAAATCATAGGAGAGATTACTGTTAGTTACCGCTTTTTCTCTAGCTTGGATGTGAGTGTATTAATTGCAACTAGTCTATACCCTCAAAATTTAAAAAGATAAGTTTATCGAAAAATGTTCTCTTCTGAATGCTGTTCACCAATCCCCAACAATCACAAGCCTAATTCCATAACTAATGTCATCACCTAGAATCATATCTCTCTGAATCCAAGTTATACTACGAGAAGTAACACTATGTACCATGATGAATTGTAAAAATAAATAAATAAATAACAATTAATAATTAAAAAAATGGACATCTGACGTCTTAGGACAAAACATATTAATCAGCCTCACCAACTTTTTCAAATTGCTTAACACTATCTTTGATTTGAGAAACTGTCAATGGAGGTTTGTCTGCATTTATTGCTGATATCTCAAAGCAGGGATACCCATCTCCAAAAATGCTGCAAAAAGAAAATTATTGATGAGAAGCAAATTTTTTTACATTATCCTGGTTTCAAAATTCAATAATTACTTGATTTATCCGGCTCTTATCAAGCTCAAACTATCTAGTGAAAAAGTCAAAATGTAACAATAAACTAGACAATAAGTAGGTTATAATTCTATTCCATATGTAGGTATATGGGTCCCACAGGACTTGTCAAGTCAACATCACTAAAATGATAGTCCCACAACCATACCAATTCTATTAGGATATCAACTCTTCCTAACCAGGATCGGTGAGACGCAAAATAACAAACAAGAAAAATGAATTGAAGAAATCACACACACACACACAAAAACACAAAGATTTATGTGGTTCATCCCAAAATAGGACTACGTCCGCGGCTGTTACATTTTCACTATGATCAATGATTAAAACTCTACTACAAAAGAGGCGCTCCCCTCATTTATTTATAAGCATAGAAATTAGGACAATGCAGAAGCAACAAGAAATTACCAAAGTACCCAAAAAATTCAGGATACACATCTCCAATGGACCTAGGGCTCAGTGTATAGTACTTATCAAGGCCCACAAAACGCAACAACATCTTGATGCTACATAGCCTACCTAGACCAAAAGCAAGGCCTAGGGACTCCTCGAGGTTGGTGCCTCGGTCATAGGCTACGTTACAGGAATCGTCAATTTTGGCAAAGTGCCCGTGTCGACATAACACGGCATGGGTATGCATACGGAATCCAGCCGAGATATGGAATGGAGAAAGTGGATACAGCATACAGAGTAAGAAGAAAGATGGCATACATACCTACGATTAGGGCTACGATCTCACTCTCAATCTCTGTCTCGATCTCTCTCTTCTTCCTTTCATCTGTCGATAGATCTTCCCTTGTTTATTGATCAATCTTCTTCCCTTCGTCTATCAATCGATCTTCCCTTGTCTATCGATCGATCTTCTTCCTTCGTCTGTTGATCTTCTTCCCTCTCTCTCTCTCTCTCTCTCTCTCTCTTCTTTTTAATACAATTTATTTTATATAATATAATTTTTCATAAATAATATAATTTTTAATCTTAAAATAAAAATTTATTTATTTTATCATATATAATATAATTTATTTTATGCCTAATATAATTTCTATTTGTTATTTCTTTTTTCTTTTTTCAACAGAATCTATTATTTCTTAACTTTTTTTAACTCATCTTCATATAATAAATGTATTTAAAGGATAACTACTTAACGTATCTTCGTATCTATCTGCAAATTTGGATCCATATCCACGTATTCTCAATTTTTAGGGATTGTTTGGAAAGTGCAAGATTATTATACTTTTAACTTTTTTTTTAAAAATGTGAAATGTGGGTTAGGGTTGAAGTGATTTAGTAGAGAGGTGATGTGACCCAAATAAGATGATTATGACCTAAATAAGATAATATACTAAAATAGCATGTGTTAACACATACCAAACAACCTCTTAGTTTTGAAGTGTTCGAGCCCTACATAAGCACTCACACCCGATACTCGCACCTGAGTCCAAGTAACGTAGGTCATAGGATGCTCGAGCGACCCACGACCTTGAATGGGATCACCAAGGACTTGTGGACTAGTGGTTAAATTTGAGGGATCATCAAAGTTGCATGGCTCACCCCCTTGGCCCCTCAAGGGTGACCCCACTTTGACCAATCTTAGACATGAGAGAAAGGACTCTTTGACAAAATCATGTGATTTCGTGAAAGGTGTATCACACCTATCTTTGCTAGCATTTGGGACAACCCTCAAGGATGCGTTGGCAGAAGGTCTCCACCTCCATACAAGACACCCAAGGGGAGAGCTCGCTTTTCCACACACTAAGAGGCTTCACCCCTTACTACCACTCTTTCTATCTACATGCTAGGGCTTCCTCTGCTCTCTTCCTCTCCACCTCTAGCGGCCTTGCACCATCTTTGTATATGCTATGATTCCAAAAGGGCCTATAGTCTGAACCCCAAGGGGTCGGCCTGGCGGCAAGGCCTTGGGTCTTGGAGGTGTGCTCCCTCAAAGGTTCAAGGATCGAAACCTCTTAGGTGTTAACAATTCCTTGAGGCCATCAAACTGGGATAAACCCTTGAATTAACCGGGAAACTCCTTGCCGAAGACCTGTGCACCCATGGGGATTAGTCAAGCTTTGATCCGGACACCCCAGTGCCAATAAAAATAAAAAAAGGACCTATGGTCTGCCCTCATCACCATACCATCCACACCATATATCTCAAAGGTGCTCAAAGGTGGTGGCATTCATACATCTTAACTTTCAATCAGTTGCAATGAAGCCAATTATTCAGATTGAAGGTGCAAATTACGATTATCTAATCCTAAACTCACTCATTTTCACATATACTTTTTCCATGAATAAATCCAAGACTTTTATCCTTAATAAATAAATCAAAAAAGATAAAAGGTGCCAGCTAGGTTAGTAGTAAAGACTACTGGTCTAACAAAACAATGACTCCAACATTAGAAACTTTAGTCTTTGACTTCTAATACCCAACAAACCAACTAAAAACCCACATTTAAAGACTTCATAGCATGACCTACATAATGACCGTGGAAAATTACTCCAACCGTTCCCTAAATACATGGCCTTCAACTCCTAAAACAAAAGAAACCATATGGAAAATTAAGATGGCATCTACCAAATTAAAGAAACCTATAATAGAATCTGACACAAACTAACACTTATTCTAAGATGTCTCTGTTGGATAGCTTAATATACAATGTTCAATCTATTTCCTAACAACTTAAGCTTTTAGGACTGGTGATGATCTAACATGGTATGAGAGCTTTGGTTTTGGGAGGTCTTGGGTTCAAGTCTTTCCATTAGCAATTGGTCCCTTGTTTGATATGCTTGTTTATTTGAACTTTGTTTAGTTGTTTGGTTCTCTCCATGTGCAAGAGGGATTGAACGTGAGGAAAAGTGTTCAATAGCTTAATATACAATATTAGGCCCATTTCCTTTTAGCTTAAACTTTTGGGACTAGTGGTGATTGTTAAAATCTACCATCACCTACTACACCTACTACCACCTACTACACACCTACTTTGATATGCTTGTTTATTTGAACTTTGTTTAGTTGTTTGGTTCTCTCCATGTGCAAGAGGGATTGAACGTGAGGAAAAGTGTTCAATAGCTTAATATACAATATTAGGCCCATTTCCTTTTAGCTTAAACTTTTGGGACTAGTGGTGATTTAACAGTCCCAAGTGGGTCTCGGCTTTATCAGTTCTAAATGATGTTTAGTGTCATTGTAGAACTAAACACATAAGGTGAAGATAGGGAACTCAAAAGGACCGTATAAAAAAGCTAAACTAAAAGAAAGAAAAGATTTAGACCATTCAGGAACACTTGATAAAGTTGAAGCACAAGAGTAGTATAGCAATTTCACCGTCTGAAAGAATGCTATTTAACATAAACCTCATGCCATTGAGGTATTAAAATACTGGGCAATACAATTATAAATAAGAAATTGTATAGTTGGGAAGATTTACCCTAATGGCTTACATTGAAATGATTATAAGGTGTCGCTTTTTATGTCGCTTCTCAGACTACTTTTGTTATTTAATGTCTCATGTCTATACTAAACAGTGATATTATAACAGATGACAGAGATAATAAAATCAAATTCTTACAAACACAACATGCAATTTTGTTCCAGAAATGCTTTAACATAATAGTCCAACTGATCAGAGTAACTTATCAAGAAATGACCAACCCATAGTGCCAGTGGATACTCTAGAAAAGCAAAAAAACAAAAACAAAATAGAACAATAAAAAAAAGGAAAATACATCGAATATACTTAAATATGTAACAACAAAAATGAATAGGTACACTATCCTCTGACTGATTTTCCATAAGAAATGCATACACATGCATGCATGCATATACTAGATAAAATTCCATAGGAAAGAAAAATTTTAAAAATAATAATAAAAAAAAAAAACCCACTGGCATAACACATTGTTGAAATCAGTCAAGTCCCTACAACGGTCCGACATGACCCCATAAACTGTCTTCTACATCGGTCTGCCATAACCATACAGTCTTCTACAACGGTCTGACACGACCATACAGTGTCTCCTATCCATTTTTATTTTATTTTATTTTTCTGTTTTGTTACTCTCTCCAAACTCAAGTTGGTTAGTTCCTATCCCCCTTGAGTTTGCGAGGGGCTGTTAAAATCTACCATCACCTACTACACCTACCACCACCTACTACCACCTACTACACACCTACCACTACCACCTACTCCACCTACTCCACTACATCTCCTATATAAGGAACCCCTCACCATTTGTAATAATAATATACATCAATCAATAATATATCAATTCTAACAGTGATTTAACAGTCCCAAGTGGGTCTCGGCTTTATCAGTTCTAAATGATGTTTAGTGTCATTGTGGAACTAAATACATAAGGTGAAGATAGGGAACTCAAAAGGACCATATAAAAAAGCTAAACTAAAAGAAAGAAAAGATTTAGGCCATTCAGGAACACTTGATAAAGTTGAAGCACAAGAGTAGTAAAGCAATTTCACCGTATGAAAGAATGCTATTTAACATAAACCTCATGCCAGTGAGGTATTAAAATACTGGGCAATACAATTATAAATAAGAAATTGTATACTTGGGAAGATTTACACTAATGGCTTACATTGAAATGATTATAAGGTGTCGCTTTTTATGTCACTTCTCAGACTACTTTTGTTATTTAATGTCTCATGTCTATACTAAACAGTGATATTATAACAGATGACAGAGACAACAAAATCAAATTCTTACAAACACAAATTGCAATTTTGTTCCAGAAATGCTATAACATAATAGTCCAACTGATCAGAGTAACTTATCAAGAAATGACCAACCCATAGTGCCAGTGGAAACTCTAGAAAAACAAAAAAACAAAAACAAAATAGAACAATAAAAAAAAGGAAAATACATCGAATATACTTAAATATGTAACAACAAAAATGAATAGGTACACTATCCTCTGACTGATTTTCCATAAGAAATGCATACACATGCATGCATGCATATACTAGATAAAATTCCATAGGAAAGAAAAATTTTAAAAATAATAATAAAAAAAAAAAACCCACTGGCATAACACATTGTTGAAATCAGTCAAGTCCTTATAAAGGAAAACCTCAAATAAAAAGAATATCAGAAAAATTATGCACACTTGTTTGAGAAGAGAAGACTAGCAAAGCTGAAATAATATTTTCAGCGAGAGTATAAAACTCTTTTCCCGATATCAAGAATAAATATGTGATTCACCAAATGGAATAAAAGTAAGCCAAGCATTTCAAAATCACGTGTCCACAAAGAGATTGATGTACCTAGTAGCAACTTCAAGAAGCTTTAGGTGACCTTCATGTAAAGGATTAAATGAACCAGATAAAATTATCTTCCTTTCTGTATCAGAAGTATGTGTCTCTGCAAAACATTTTCTTTATAAAGAAGAATAAACAAAAGATAAAGAGTCAGTTGAAGGTAAATACAACCCAAGGGTTAAACCATACCACTTGAAAAGGGATAAACCTTAAAACATATTTCCCCACTTATAAGCTGCTCTAATTCTTGATCTTCATCAAAGTGCTTTACACATTCATCAGGAACTTCAGATTCAGTCAATTCTGAAACAAATGTTGTTGGAACTTCGCAAGCATTTGCAATTGCCTGTAACCAAAAGATAGTTCAACAAGTTAATGTATTAGTGACTTCATAAAAAATCAAAAACACCAGAAAATGTAAAATAAAAAATAATTGGAAACATATTTTTAAAATAACAGAATAGATATTGACATTCATTGAGCTTATTATCTGGACTGTGTACTGCTCTGCCGAAAGATAGAAGTACAGATAACATGAATAGTCACCAATGCTGACAATTGAGGGGTGGGTTGCTGCAAATGACTATAAAATCAAATAATTGGAAATCATCAATGCTGGATAAATATTAAGTTGGCTAGGTACTCATTCTCTCACCTCAGTATAACTAACAGGAATACCATTCAACTATTGGGTACTTAAAGGCATATTCCTCACAACTATTCATCATAAATGTGATCAATTTAGAGAATACCAAGATTAGGGAATGATTATGATATCATCCCTTATTTATATTAATGAAGATCAATAATTACAAGGGAGACCTAAGACATAGAATAATTATAAAATAATAACCCACATAATCATATATTATTCTAACACTCCCCCTCAGGCTCGTGCAAAGATATTTCTCATACCCAGCTTGCCTAAGATGCCATGAAAGGGCTTACTCCCAACTCCCTTGGTAAGAATGTCAGCAAGTTGTTCACCAGATTGCACAAAGAGAGTACAGATTGTGCCACTAGTGAGTTTCTCCTTAATGAAGTAGCGATCAATCTCAACATTATTTGTCCTGTCATGTTGAACCGAATTGTGAGCAATGTTGATAGCAGTCTTATTATCACAATATAACCGCATGAAGTTCGTCTGATCAATACCTAGATCACTCAACAATAACTTAATCCATAACAGCTTACACACCCCTTGTGCCATAGCTCTAAACTCAGCTTCTGCACTTGACCTGGCAACCATATTCTGTTTCTTACTGCTCCAAGTAACTAAGTTGCCTCCAACAAAGGTGCAATCCCCTGAAGTCGATCTTCTATCAGTTACTGATCCAGCCCAGTCAGCATCTGTATAGGCTTCTACACGAAGATGATCATACTTTGAAAAATAAAGACCCTTACAAGGAGCAGACTTTAAGTACCTCAAAATTCTCATAACAGTTTCGAAGTGAATCTGATGAGGAGCATGCATAAACTGGCTAACCACACTGACAGCAACAACAATATCAAGACGGGAGTAAGATAGATAAATGAGCTTACCCACTAATTGTTGATATCTCCCCTTATCAACAGCTGCTCCTCCTTCATAATTCCCCCGTTTCTGATTAGTTTCCAGTGGAGTGTCACAAGCCTTGCAGCTAAACATCCCAATTTCCTTCAACGGGTCAAGCACATACTTCCTCTGTGAGATAAATACCCCATCCTTGGGGCGAGCAACTTCAATTCCCAGAAAATACTTCAAGCTCCCCAAAATCTTTGATTTCAAACTCACTGGCTAAATATTTCTTCAACAGAGGTATTTCCTCACTATCGTCGCCTGTAAGAAACTATGTCATCTACATAAATAATGAGTGTTGTAGTCTTACCACGTGAGGAATGTTTCACAAACAAGGTGTGATATGTCTGACTCTGTTTAAAGCCATATTTAAGCATTAGCCTGAGTGAATCTCTCAAACCAAACCCTTGGAGACTATTTGAGACCATATAATGACTTCCGAAGCCTGCACAGTTTGCCTTCTGTTTGATGATCCTCAAAAATAGAAAGAGTGTCCACATATACCTCTTCTTCGAGATCACTATGGAGAAACGCATTCTTTACATCAAAATAATGAAGTGGCCAGTCTAGATTAGCTGCTAGAGAGAGAAGTACTTTGACCGAATTCATCTTAGCCACTGGTGCAAAGGTCTCCTGATAGTCAACGCCATATATCTCAGTGACCCCTTTTGCCACAAGTCTAGCCTTGTAATGCTCAATAGACCCATCCGCTTTGTGTTTCACAGTATACACCTATTTGCATCCCACAGGTCGTTTGCCTTTAGGTAACTCAGTCAATTCCCAAGTACTATTCTTCCTAAATGCTTTCATTTCCTCAATCATGGCAAGTTTCCACTCAGAGGTAGCAAGAGCATCCTGACAATGGTTAAGAATGCTAACAGAGGAAATATTTGATACAAACGCTTTATATGAGGACGACAAATGAAAGTAGGACACAAAATTTGAGATAGGATATTGAGTACAAGATCTCACACCCTTTCTCTTGGCAATAGGAATATCAAGATCAATGGACTCAAGTGATTCAAAGTTACCTGGACTCTCATCAGAAGCAGGAGATGGCAGTGGAGGAGCATAAGTGTTCTTTTGTATCCACTTAACTTTCTGTCTGTCTTTGTCCCCGACATAAACATGTCCTTCCCTACCCTTGGGTTCTGTAGTCCCAGTAGGAGGTGGTGGTGTAAGAACTGGTTCCACTATAGGAATTACAGGAATCACTTTACACCAAGGCTCCCCCTAAAGAGAGGACTGTGACACCGGAGAGGACAAGAAATAGGATTGGGACTCAAAGAATGTGACATCCATGGACACAAACCACTTACGAGAAGGAGGGTGGTAACACTTATACCCTTTTTTAGTAGGAGAGTACCCACGGAAAACGCATTTAAGAGAGCGAGGGTCTAACTTACCATGAGTAGGAGAGTGATTGTGGACAAAACCAACACAGCCAAATATTTTTGGAGGAATAGAAAGCAAAGACTCGGAACCTAGGAGCACTTGAAGAGAAGCGTGTTTATGCAAAACCTAGGTAGGAAGACGATTAATAAGATGGACAGCAGTGAGAACGTCACCCCAGTAGGACCGAGGCACGCTCATAGACAAACACATGCACTGAGCCATGTCAAGAAAATGGCAATTCTTGCGTTCCGCCACCCCATTTTGTTGAGGAGTATTAGTGCAAGAGGTCTGATGGATAATGCCATGAGCAGAAAATATTGCCCTAACTCAGAGAAAATATTGCCCTAACCCAGAATCTATGTATTCACCCCCATTATCAGAATGGAAGATTTTGACAGTGGCCCCAAACTAAGTACAAATCATCTTATGAAAATTGCGGAACATAGAGAAAACCTCACTCTTGTCTTTCATGAGATATACTCAAGTAGTACGAGAAAAATCATCAATAAATGTAACAAACCATCGATGACCTTTCACAGACATAACACGAGATGAACCCCAAACATCAGAATGTATTAACGAAAAAGGAACTAAATTTTTATTAAAACTGAGAGCAAAAGAAGCTCTGTGTTGTTTTCTAAGTTGACAAGACTCGCAAAGAAACTCAGACACATTATTATTGGCAAAACAAGATGGAAATAAATGTTTAAGTAAATAAAAAAAAAAAAAAGGATGCTCAAGACGCCAATGCCACAACCATAAATCATCTTGGGTAGTAGGACTCATGGTAGAAGAATGAGCAAGCTTGTCCGATTGATCCAGGAAGTAGAGACCATTTTCTGCGCTACCACTGCCAATCGTCCTCCTCGTGATAAGGTCCTGAAAAAGACAATGATCAGGAAAAAAACGTCACACTACAATTCAAATCCTGTGTAATACGACTCAAGGATAACAGATTAACAGAAAAATTGGGAACAAGGAGAACAGAAGATAAAGGGATTGTAAGAGTGACACGGACTAAACCTTTTCCAGAAATGAAAGAAACAGTACCATCTGCAATCCTAACTTTGTCTTAACCTAAAGAGAGCTTATAGGCAGAGAAGAGGTCAGAGGACCTAGACATATGATCTGAGACCCCAGAATCAATAATCCAGGGTAAAGACGTATGAGACAAGAAAACACAAGGAGAATAGGCTAAGTTACCTGAACGGGCAAACGACGAGGAAGATGTACTGAGAGCAGTAGAAGACCGACGGTCCAGCAAGTGACGCAGAACATCCTCAAGCTCAGGAGTAATCATGCTAGAGAGACCATCAGAAGGCTAGCCAACGGAAGCGGAAGTAGAATCAAGTGTATCAACGGTACTAGACTGATGAGCCAGTGGATGAGAACCCCGTCCTCTAGACTGGCCTGACCGACCTCTTCTAACACCAGACTGATCACCTCGACCCCCGAATAGAGTCCCATGAAGCTTCCAACATGTCTCACAGTAATTACAGAATACAAAGTCCTTGGCCGCAGACGGAGGAATGAGAGTCAGGCTAAGGCCATCTCTAGGAGTAGACAGTAATACAGAGCGGTCAGTAGAGACGGAGGACATCATAACAAACCAACGACTCTCCTCATTCTCTACATAGGCAAATGTCTCCTGAAGTGAATGAAGAGTGTCCATACTCAGAACCCGACTCCGAACCGGATCATACTCCACATCAAGCCATGCCAGAAACTTGAAGACCCTTTCCTGTGCAATGAACTTCTTGTACCCGACTGAATCAACAGTGCAAACAGGTTTATAGTCCTGCAGGTGATCAAGGCATTTCTACCCGTTGGTGAGGAAGGTGAATTACTGAAGAACCGTCTGCTTCCCCTGAACACAGCTCTCAATAGAGCGGTGTAACTCAAATGCCTGGGAGAAATTCCCTTTACGGGAATAGGTAGCAGCCATAACATCCCAAATATCCTGGGCAGTCTCCATAGATAAGTAATCCTCGCCAATGTCTGGTACCTTCGAATGAATAAGCCAATCCATAATCAAAGAGATGGTAATCTCCCATTGGTCATAACTTGGGTCAATGACATTGGGTGCCTATATCCTGCCATCAACATACCCCATCTTCTCTCTGCTCTTCAAAAAAATTGTCAAATTCTGCGACCACGCTAGATAGTTCTAACTATTAAATGGAGAGGTGGTGATTTTAAGACTAAGGTTGGGGTTATCAGTCATAGTAATAGGTAGAATGGAACTCTCACTCCTAGGTGTCTAAGAAGTAGTGGACATACTAGGGAAAACTTCCATGGAAACTATACGACTGAACCCTCAACAAAACTAGTACTAATCACAAACCCGGAAGATAATGGGGGAAGGAAAAACACAACGATAATAGGTTTTTTTTGTTTTTTGTTTTTGGTGTTTGTTTGTTTATAACCTGGCACTACTACATCAGCAAAACGACAAAGGAAGGAAGAACTACACACCAGCAGCAAAACGACAAAGGAAGGAAGAACTACACACCAAGAGCAGACTTCAAAACGACATCAGCAAAACGACAAAGGAAGGAAGAAGATGGATTGGTGCGACTGTGGACTAGGTCGTCGACTAGGTCTGTCGGCTAGGGCTGTCAAATGGCTCGACAAGGCTAGGGCAGCCAACAGGGACAAGCTATGAGGCCAGGAGGCCTGTCGGAGGAGACCACCAAGACTAGGGCTGCCTCTGGTAGGTGACAGGAGCAAGCAACAACGCAGCAGTGAGCTACGCGACTGAGAGACCCTTCGGCAGTAGCCGACTGGACTGGGAAAACAAGGGAACACTATCAAAACTGGATGGGTAATGTGGTGGTGGTTGAGGGATGGAGAGATGTTGGGTGGCTGTGTGGTGGGTAGGGTTAGGTTTGTGGCTCTGATACTATGATCAATTTAGAGAATACCAAGATTAGGGAATGATTAGGATATCATCCCCTATTTATATTAATGAAGATCAATGATTACAAGGGAGCCCTAAGGCATACAATAATTACAAAATCATAACCCACATAATCATATATTATTCTAACAAAATGTTCTCAATACCGAATTTGGGTAAAGCAAACAACCTATTATTGAAGTGGTACTATAATTTGATTCATCCAACTTGCATATACACTTGTAGCGGTAATATGAGGGTTAGTGACAAACATAAACCAAATATAGGTAAATATCTAACCAAAAGAGAAAGGGTGGATAACTTTTCCCAAGTAAGAATCCAAGAAACATTTTTAAAAGACATTGAAACTAGGAAATAGACATCAACTGGTACTGTAACAATTAGAACCGGTTACAATATGAGAAAATTAAAACAACATTTGAATGAACTTCTAAGTTTGCTTTTCTTGCTGTATAGACAAATCACCAGTGCCTACTGTAGTTATTTTAAGCTTTAGGTTCACAATGAATAGAAACTCATGTGTACTACACGAATATCTATATCTGGGACTACAAGGCCCTACAAAATAGAATGAAGTTCTTTCTTGTTTGGGTCCTTTCAAGTTGAAACATCAAATTTTTGTTTCTTATTTCTACAAAGCTCATAGCAGAATATACACCAGATTTTTTTCTGAACTATGATTGCTGGTTAAAGCATGCCCAAGGGTGACTGGCGTCCTGTGCTGGAATCCCTGGGTGATCATGTCCTATAGAGGGGAAATCATGGAACAATAAAGCATCAAATCGAATTGCTTCCATGCTCTGGGTATGATGAAAAGTCCATGTAGAATAGAACAATCAAGATTAATACTTCATCCATATTAAATGATCCGGGTGTATACAAGGAAACTTCCACTGAAATACAAATACATTTCCTTTTCTTTGTTCAAACATTAGTATTGGACCCATGTTTCACTCTTCTATCCATGTTGCACATCGGAGAACATTAATAATTCATGCATTATGAACTCTCCATGGCCCCTAATTATATACTGGCAAAGTATCTTTTTCTAAACATTGTATTGTATATGAGCCATTATTGTCAGCAGTAAGCCTTTCCAGCAGATATCTAGAAGCATGATATATACAAGTTTTCATAGAGTAGAACAGACATGTTTTTTAGGCGTCTAAGAGTATGATCTTCCCAATCCAAAAAGAAAAAGCATAATCTTCCATAACTGTAACATGGACAAATTTATCTTCAACAAAAATTTTAAATGTTTCACTCTTCTATCCATGTTGCACATCGGAGAACATTAATAATTCATGCATTATGAACTCTCCATGGCCCCTAATTATATACTGGCAAAGTATCTTATTCTAAACATTGTATTGTATATGAGCCATTATTGTCAGCAGTAAGCCTTTCCAGCAGATATCTAGAAGCATGATATATACAAGTTTTCATAGAGTAGAACAGCCATGTTTTTTAAGGCATCTAAGAGTATGATCTTCCCAATCCAAAAAGAAAAAGCATAATCTTCCATGACCGTAACATGGACAAATTTATCTTCAACAAAAATTTTAAATGTAAATGACAAGCATCATGATGATTCATTCTCCAAGTATGAAATCAACAGGATATGATCTGTAATGTTTATTGCGCACCTTAAGTAATACATGACTAGAAACCCTATCTTCTTGCTCTCGATTTCGCAAACCCTGAATCAATTCATTACAAAACATATCAAAATACTTCCATGCTGACAATCCAAAGCATAAATCCACAAAAAACAAGTAAAATCACATTCATACCTTTGTCAAAGTAACTGTAGATACCCAAAGGTGGTCTGATGTTCTTGTTGACACGTGAAACCTATACATGAAACAAGAAACTGAGTCTAAAAACAAAAAATATTGAAAATCAAAACTTTCAGGAGTGAGTCTAAAAGCACCTATGACGCACAGACACCTCTCCGGAGGTCATATACCAGTGTCCAACACAAGTAGACATGCTGGAGGAATTGGATATGTTGAGGACATGTTGGGAAGGGCTGCGGATACACTAGGGACAAGCAGAGACCTATTTTTAAATTTTTTATTTTATTAAGTTTTTTTACCTGAATAGCGTACTTAAGATTGATGAAATTGATGAGAATAAGTATTTGACATAGAATATGTTATATTAAAAAATATGGCACATAATTAATATATAAAATTATATGTTTTGAACCTGTCATGTCCTGCATTTTTTTTAAAATTTGTGTGTCCACATATCTATATTGTGTCACATGTCCATGCTTCTAAGAAAAGCACAAATTATTCAAAATTAAAAAAGCAAAAGCAAAAAAGTAACTTTGGACAATGAAAAGTAATTCTACAATACAATGCAAGTTGAAAAACCAATTCTCACCTACTAAAGTAAAGCATAATATGCATTCTAAGGACAACAGTACCCATGTCATAATCCAACACTAGCCCGGAACTAGGAAAGGATAAAACATTGAAAATGCACTTTGATATCAAACTATTTTGTTTTACATTTAAGCAAAGTACCCAAATGGGAGGTAGAATACATATAAATCTAGGATACTGATGTGCTGAAGAAATATAAAAAATAAAAACAATTTTCTTTTAAACTCATCAATGATGTACATAGGAGGACAAGTAAGCCCATTGTGAAATAAAACCCTGCCCCTGCAGTATAATACGTAGGCAAGAAGTTCACCCCACCATCTCAAACAAATGGAATTGTTTCAACTAATAAAGCCATGTTGATTACTGCGTGTGCACAATACTTAATACATCTAAAATGTGTTTTGCTTTCTTTTCAACTAATTCAAATCTTCTTTTTCATATGGAACTAGGGAACACTGAATCAATCCAGTCTTCAGTTGTTTTGCACCATAGCAGTATAATTAGCTTAGATCCAAATCATCCATGGTAAAGAAAGAAAAATACTTGTATGATCCATTTATATGATTTTCCTAAAACTCAGGTCAACTCAAGAAACCCATAATCCTAATTCCAAACACCGAGTCTCCACTCAAAAATCCTTCTTCACCATTCAGCTTTCTATAGGCTATATCCTCTTCAAAATTATCAGCTAGAATGTGTTTTCTCTCTACGTCAGGCCAGAATGCTTACACTTCTAGTAAAAATAGGACTGTGTGGAGAAATAATGAAAATGGTTTTCATTTTCGTATCCTTCACTAAATAATGAAATATGCGCATGAAAATAAATGAGATAATATGTCATGTGAACAATGTTAGTGAAGGGGACGAAAATGAAATGATTCATTCAACAACTAATTAAGTATAAGTAATTCTATATAATTATTTATAGACTAAAATAGATATAATGATTAGCAATACCTGTGGTCCCCAAGTTTTGGGTGTGTGGTAGCCAAAGAACCAGTAAAACCAACACCTAGAACTGGGGAACCTATTGAACACATAGAAAAAGGCAATATTAATAAAATAAACAATAGTGAATAGCATCACAAGTATATGAATGTTACCTACTAAGTTATGTCTTCAGCTGAGGTATTTAGACAGTTGAATATCTGTGTGTGGTAACTAAAAAAATAAAAGTTGAGATTACATCATAGGGCTTTGAAGGATTCCCAACCAAATTCACACAATGAATGGATCCCTAGGATTGAGCAATGTGGCTTTACTAGGATGACGCCACACGGCAATGAAGGCTTAGAAAAGGATGTCAGATGGTGTGGTCACTTGAGAAGTATAACTTCTCTTCAAGATGTTAATTGGCTAATTAGTTGGACTTGATCCAATGAAAAAAAGAGAAGGTCCAAGGAGCCAATGGAGGAAAGTAGAGCCCTTCAAAGACAGGAAGCAATTGCTGGTCGAGTCAAGGACAAATCGTGTTACAAGAAGGAGACATGAGCAGTTGTGAAGCCTGAGAGTGAACTGAAGATGGAGTAACTAGCACAAGATGATAATCTGAGGCTGGAAACTACTCAAGGAAGGCACCAGTACACCCATATACGCTATTTTAGCTTCCTTTACTCAAGATTAGAGTTTAGGATGCTCTGTAGACTTTTTAATACTCCATAGTTAGGATTACTTTTACATGCCAAATTGCAGTTCATATACTTTTCTTTCATCATTAGAAGTTAGTTTTTTGATGTCATGATTTTTTACCATTTATTATGCACCTATATTTGAAAAATGTAGTTCTGTGTTCATTTCAATGGCTTTCCAAAATGATAATAGAGGTAATCTCCATGCTTTATTAGTGCTTTGGAGATCTGTTTTCTAACTGTTATTTTTCTCCCTAGTAGATTATTAAGTCCAATGCATTACAGTAGCAACATGGTCCTTACATTTGGATGACCTCTTTACCTAAGGCCTAATCAACAAGATAATATACTAACTCGGGGCTAGTTAGCTATTAAGTCTAGTGGACTTAGCACAACTTCACACTTTTGAACAAAGCACTAAAATCCAAAACTTCAATTACTCGAAATAAAAAAAAAGTTCCAAAAGTTTAATAAAATCCAACTGTTGAAAACATTACTCAATATGAAGAAGTGATTTTATGGTAATATATGAAAATTAATTGTACTGATATCTAATATTATAGCTCAGCAAATGACAAATGTCATGTTGAACTAAAAGGCCTAACCAAAGAGGGGTTAACCTCTTCCTGGGGCCAACCACCAGGGCGACAGCACATATGGTTGGTAGGACGAACCTCCCAGGCGTGGGCGAACCGTAACCAGTGTCAGGAATGTGGGTTCGAATCCCTATCTGTGTGTGAATCCGTGACTTACCCCTACATGGTTGAATGGCCCAACTATGTAGTAACCATCTAAGGGTGATCTCTAGGGCCTCGACTTGTGCATTGACATTTAAGTTGTTTAATATATTTGTCATCCTTTGGAGATAGCATCACCGACAGTGAATGATCCATAACATGCAAGGTTGGCCCTAAGGCAAGGGCACCGCCTGGGGCCCCCCAAATTTAGAAAAAAAATTTAAGGGGGGGATGATATTACTAATCTAAGTTCAAAATCCAAACTATAGGGTCCTTATTGATTATGCAAGCTTAATTAGCAAGTTTGCAAACAAAAATGCAAGAAAAGTAACATTTAACTATTACTTTCTCGTAGGCGAATCAATTTTTATTTAGTATTATAACTTTAGATTTTGTTGGATACTTTTTCTTGTTGTTAACTAAATTTGGCTAAATAATAAAGCAACAAGACCAATTTTTTATCTCTTTGAGTTCTTATGATGATTTCTTCATGTCTTGATCGATGTAAATAAATTTTAGTGATTATAAATGCAAGCATGTGGCTATTAGCAAATTAATATATATATATATTTGTAGATACTTCACCTTTTTTCCTACAAACCTTTTTCTTATTGTGATGAAAAGTTCCCCTAGGGCCCTAAAAAACTCAAGGCCAACACTGATGTCATGTAAATCAATCAAAGTATATGGCTTCCAATCAAGACATAATTCCTACCTATTTTCCTATTTCTGGCCCATACAACCAAAATAAATTTATCAGTATTTCAACACAATATATGGAATCATTATTTACACAAAACAGCCTTGTGAATTACAAGTTATGGTCCTAAACAAACTGATATCTAGTAATTCCAAAACCAATTTCCATTTGTAACCACATATGATGGTCCCAAACATAACAATGTCACTATAAGGCAGGTGAATTAACCCTAGAAAATGTTTAAAACTAAATTTAACGATTTTGCAAATAAATCATCAGCATAAATTTACAATATAATCAAAATACTAGCAGATAAACCTGGTTTAGAGAGCTTGAGAGCGCGATTGTAAGCCAACAAAGCCATTTCCTCTGCAGTTTGACGACTGGCGAATTGAGTTGGGACCTGCAAAAATCAAGTAAAGAATCAAATCAAACTTATTGGAATTGAGATTTTTCAAACTGATGATGAAATTGACACGAAATTGGTAGATAAAATGGCCACCTTGCCGAGCAATTGGATCATGGACATTCTGGAATAAGGAATTACAGATTCAAGAACTGTGTTTGAAGCTCCAGGAACTGACATCAGCCAAGCCAGAGCCTGATTTGAAATCATTCGATTGTGATCATGATCAGGCATGTATAGATACAAGTATATGTATATGTAGAGAGAGAGAGAGAGAGAGAGAGAGAGAGAGACCTGAGAAGCTCCGCCGGAGATATAGAGGACAGAGTGGGTAGGGGTTGAGTGGATGGCTTCTACCAGAGCTCGGATACAACCGTCCGTCATTTTTCTGTCGACGATAGCTGATGACTCCATCATCTCTTCTTCCTTTGTAATTAAACTAGCGGTTGCCGCACGCACACGCGATGCCTGTGCTATCCTAATAAATAAAAATAAAATAAAAAATTTATTATAGTCAAGTGATAAAAATCTTATCTGATATAAGTATAAGGTTTTGATATATTAGTCAAGTGATTTATTATATATTACGTCCTAGTCGGGTGATAAGAATCTTATCTGATATAAGTCTAAGGTTTTGATATAGATGAATAGAAGATTCATCCACACAGCGTCGTTTTATTTCCCGTTCGCAGTTTGTTGGTCTTTTTGATATAGATGAATAGAAGATTCATCCACACAGCGTCGTTTTATTCGCCGTTCGCAGTTTGTTGGTCCTTTGCTCTTTTTTAACGAAATAAAAGGTACTTGGGATTATTTTAGTTGGTTATTTAATTTTTTGTGATTATTTTAGTTTAATTTAAAAAAATTGTATTTAAAATGATAATTAATTATTTTAATAGTAATTAAAATAGTTATAAATTAAATGTATTATTTATAGAATGAAACATCAGATCATTTACATCATTCACATCATGTTGATGTAAAAATGGGACTAAATGGAGCATAAGAAAACTTTTAGGACTATATGGTTCAACGTTTCAAAAACTAGGACTTATGGGTAAATTTTCCTAACATTATATTTGATTATAAAATAAATAAATGATAAAAAAAAATAATAAAGAGTGAAGCAAAAGAAGAAAAAAATAAGAATTTTTTTTTAAGTCCCTAATATTAAGATTTTATAAAATAAATGGTATACAATATTTTTATAGTAATTAAAGTCCCTTAACATTTTTACAGAAAAAATTTAATTCAGAGAAATTTTACTCGACTTAAAGAAATTTTACCTTAACTTAGAGAAATTTCAATTTTCACAGAGAAATCTCTGTAAAAATTGAAATTTCTTGAGTTAGGAGCCGAAATTTATCTTAGTCGGGCAAAATTTCTCTGAGTCAAATTCTATGTGAAAATGTTGAGGGACATTAGTTAATAAAAAAATATATCTTAAATATCTCTTACTACACAAAGTTAGAGAGGGATATTTCACTAATATTTTCAGAAAAAATAGGAGTAAGTATAAATAAATAAAAAAATCAAGATTTGACTCTTATAACAAAATAAACCGTCAGTTTTTAATTTCGTCAATTTAAATTCTAAACTTTTGATTTGTTTTCAATTTAAACTATTTGCATATTTTCGTTAAATAAAATCGATAAAAAAAATAATATTTTAGTCATTAAATTCAATAAAGATGGATATTTTATGTATACTTATATTTTAATGACTAAAATATTATTTTTCATCGGTTTTAGTTCATGAAAATAGGCAAATAATTTAGATTGAAAATAAATTAAAAGATTAAAGTTTAAATTTATAAAATTGAAAATTCATGATTTATTTTGTTATAAGAATCAAACCTTAGGTTATTTTTTGTAATTGTCCCAAGAAAAATGAGTAGGATGAAAATTTTGTAAGAAAGAGAGAAATTTTAATTATAAATAACTATTTTTATAAATAAATTTAAATTTGTTTATATTTCTCAATACTAAACTTAGTTATCATACTACCATGAATTGTACAAGAGAATAATTATTATCACTTTCTTTCTAAACAAACTTAGAAGAATTGATATGCCTTTGTGGGGATATATTTTATGAGTACCAACAGGTGGCAAGGTGACGCCGACGTGTCAGCCGAGGTGCCACGTGTCTTGGTCGTTGTGCCGAGGTCATCTCGGCTAGGCCGAGAATGCCTCCGAAGATATCGGAATCCGAGATAAGCGGATAAGGGACAAGAGTCCTAAAATGAAGAGGGAACTAACTTGTATATGGACAAGAGTCCTAGATTGGGAGAAGACTTCAGTTTGGGTAAAGATAAGACTCTTAGAGAGTTTATCCTAATCCCACTGGAGTCCCAGATTAGCAGTAATCCTAAGTCCATTAGGGCCAGGCTCCTATTGGGACTAGGATTGTATTGGCTATAAAAGAGAGGCACCCCCATGGGTCTAAGGTATGCTTTTGATACTCAAGCTTGTGAGTTTAGTACTTGATTTATCTTTAAGAGATATACTGACTTGATCGTCGGAGTGCCCCCGGGTGGTCGAAACCACCGCGGGATTCTTATATTTCTGTTGCAGGTCAGTCAGGTGCCATCTATTCTGCCAGTGCTCTCCAGCTAGTTACTAAGCGGGCAGTGTGGTCGGAAAATCACCCACACAATTTGGCGCCGTCTGTGGGAAAGAAAGAAGAATAGATGGCTAATGACGGACAGAAGGATCAGATTAGAGACAAATGCTCCTACTGGGAGTAGGAGACCTATCGATCTCGACATTGAAGGGAACGATTGCAACACAGAAACTCGTGACCAGAGTCACGGAGTGAAAGACGCCGGCCAGGAAGGTGACGCACCAAAGACAACAGATCGAAGCGGATACTACAACGAAGATGACCTCCAGGTATGGAAGGATAGATACCTGCGGAAGAACAAAGACCCTTCCAGAAGGGATGCAAAGAGACAATGCTCCTACTGGGAGTAGGAGACCTATCGATCTCGACATTGAAGGGGACGATTACAACACAGAAACTCGTGACCAGAGTCACGGAGTGAAAGACGCCGGCCAGGAAGGTGACGCACCAAAGACAATAGATCGAAGCGGATACTACAACGAAGATGACCTCCAGGTATGGAAGGATAGATACCTGCGGAAGAACAAAGACCCTTCCAGAAGGGATGCAAAGACAGGAGGCATGAACGCTCCCAAGGAGATAACATTCAAGTATAGAAGAGCTCAACCTGAGTGAGCAAATCCCGGATCCCAGAAGACATGATCTCGGCCTAGATGAGTAGGTCCGAGAAAAGAAGAGCTCAACCTGAGTGAGCAGATCCAAGATTCCAGAAGATAAGATCTCGGCACCTGAGTCCGAGAAGAGAAGAGCACAATGAGCAGATCTCAGATCCTAGAAGATAAAAAGGAAACACACAAGATCAGACTAAAGTTGGCCAGAATTGAGAAGTATGCTAGGGCCGAAGAGGACATGCCGGGAACCAAGGCATCGGAACAAGAAAAGAGAAACGGCTCGCTAATGCGAAGCCGAAAATCAAACTCAGGTTGGAGCCAAGTAAGATCAATAGAGAAACCAAGGCCGACAACCTCGACTTGAATTAAACCTCGGCGACAAGGTCAAAGCTACATGTATGATGAGAACCCAAGTGGATTTTAAGTTCACACTGGGGGGGCAGAAAGAAGAAGAATGCGTTTATCACTTGTTGAAATTTGTAGCAATTTACAAGTTGGTTAAACCAATATAATGCTTAACCGAAGTTAAGCCCAGATGATGTTTAACCGAAGTTAAACCGAGACGATGCTTAACCGAAGTTAAGCCGAGATGATACTTAACCGAAGTTAAGCCGAAATAATGCTTAACCGAAGTTAAGCCCAGATAATGTTTAACCGAAGTTAAGCCGAGATGATACTTAATCGAAGTTAAGCCGAGATGATGCTTAACCGAAGTTAAGCCCAGATAATGTTTAACCGAAGTTAAACTGAGACGATGCTTAACCGAAGTTAAGCCGAGATGATGCTTAGATTGAAATTAAGCTGAGATGGTTCCTTATCTTCACTTGTTGAAATTTGTAGCAATTTACAAGTTGCAGTTAAGTCGAGATTACTGTTTCCCTTCGCTTGTTTAAATTCGTAGCAATTTACGAGTTGAAGCAAAGTTGAGGTTATTGCTAAACACTTGTAGCAATCTACAGGTTGGTTAAACCAAAGAAGATGCTTAACACTTGTTGAAATTTGCAGCAATTTACAAGATAACGTTAAGCCAACATATGATCATCTGTTGAAATTTGCAGCAATTTACAGGTTGAGGAAAAAGCTAAGTATGTTGTTTAAACACTTGTTGAAATTCGTAGCAATTTACAAATAGATTATTGTTTAACACTTGTTATGTTAATCCTTGTTGATCCCTGTTACAGTATATGTTAATCCTTGTTGAAATTTGTAGCAATTTACAAGTAGGCTAGACCGAGATCACCGTTTAAACACTTGTTGAAACTTGAGAAAAAGTTTGCAAAGTTAACATTGAGTAGTATATGTTTCACACTTAGAATTTATGAAAAGTTTGCAGGTCAGTATCTTGCCGAAGTTAAAGTTTTGTAGCTATTATACCCGAGGTATATAACCCCGAGAAGATCGCACAAAGGAGGCAAAGTATGAAAGACATACAAATTCTAAGTATAGAATCATGCAAAAGCAGTTAGAAGAAGATCAAAACAGAATTCGTCATGATTGACACGCCTTCACCTTACAACATTATCTCGGGAAGGCCATGGTTGCATGCAATGGGGGCAGTTCCCTCAACATTGCATCAACTACTGCGGCTCCCAACAGAACATGGGATTGAAGAAGTCAGAGGGGATCAACTGCAGGCGGAGAATTGCTCCATGGCAGCAATGAAATCCACCTGCAGCATTCGAGAACCAGAGAAGGCAGAGATTGAAAATGACGACATAGAGGTACTAGATGATGTCGACAAGGAGCCAGCCGAGAAGAGTAAAGAGGCACTGAAAATCCTCGTCCAGGAGGGGGATGAAGAACGCTTCTTTCTTCTCGGCTCAGGCTTAGCCGAAGAAGAAGAAAGAGAATTGCAAGCTTTTTTTAGAGCAAACATTGGACACCTTACGAAATGCCTGGCATTGACCCCGAGATCACTTGCCACCAACTGAACGTCGACAGATCGGCCAAACCTATAAATCCAACGAGCAAAAGGACCGACGTTGATGCATGTCGAAGCAATAGAGGAAGAAGTAGACAGACTTCTAGAGACCAGGGCCATTCGAGAAGTCAATTACCCGACATGGCTATCAAATACAGTGGAAAAAGAAATGATAATCAAGAAGCAAGGGCTGTTAACATCGGCCAACAACAGACATTTTTCAGAAGCAAAAAAGGTGACATATGCAAAGAAAACAAAAGTACAAAGATGAAAACCCTAAGAACTAGGGACTAAGGAAAGAACGTCGGACTAATCTACTTCAAACGGTTGA